CATATGCTGTCTCAGCTGTCACACATTTGTGGCTGATGACTGAAATTATCTCTGCCCCTGTGTGCCTAAAGTCTAACCCCCATTCAAGAATTGAAGGTTGAATCTGCAAACAAATAAACTCAAAATAGACAAATTTGTGCTTGGTCAGGTCAGCTGCCAGATTGTTTCTGATTAGGTGGACTTCAGAAGAAGTTTGCTCACCAGGCCTTTCAGTTTAGAGACTCTAAGCTCATTGTAAATCCTATTGCTACAAATTAAATCTTGCTGTTTTGTACAGTGATCTCTGAGAAAGTTTGGACCCATGCATTCTTCAAAGGCACACCTGAGCGTGCACAGCCCCAGGAAATTTTTGTAAGAATCAGTTATTCAAGTTCTGTCCCAGTGAATAGAGTCCAACGCATTCAGCTGAACATTTTTGAACGCTTCCTGTCAGATGGAAAATGGTTTTGTATCATGTTTGTGTGGCAACGTTTTGGTAGCGGGGCGGCTACAGGAGTGGCTTCTGTAAGAAGCTGTTAGAAGCTTCCCTCATGTCTGACAAAGTCAATGCAAGCTAACTCCAAGATTGACCCGCTGCTGACGAAGACTGAGCCCATCAGCGACAGTGATAGCGCTTCTGGGATAACGTATTTAAGATGGGGAAAAAGGTGCTGAGCAACAGCAACCGCAGCCAGAGAGAGGAGTGAGAATATGTGAGAGCAACAACTCTACAGACACCAAGGTCCGTGAAGAAGGAGGGGGAGGAGGAGCTCCAAGTACCAGAGCACAGATTCCCCTGCAGCCTGTGGTGAAGACCATGGTGAGGCAGGCTGTTCCCCTGCAGGCCATGGACGTTAACAGTGGAGCAGATATCCAACTGCAGCCCATGGAGGACCCCACACCAGAGCCATGAGATGTGCCCTGGAGGATACTGTGACCCTGTGGGAAGCCCGCGCTGGAACAGGCTCCTGACAGGACCTGTGGACCTGTGGTGAGGAGCCCATGCTGGAGACAGTTTGCTGGCAGGACTTGCAACCCCGTGGGGGGACCCACGCTGGAGCAGTGAGTGTGAGGAGTCCTCCCCCTGAGGAGGAAGGAGCAGCAGAGACAATGTGTGATGAACTGACCTCAAACCCCATTCCCCGTCCCCCTGTGCTGCTGGGGAGAAGAGGCAGAGAAAACTGGGAGTGAAGTTGAGCCTGGGAAGAAGGGAGGGGTGGGAGGAAGGTGGTGTTAAGATTTGGTTTTATTTTGCATTACCCTACTCTGATTTGATTGGTAATAAGTTAAACTAATTTTTCCCCAAATCAAGTCTGTTTTGCCCATGATAGAAATTTGTGAATGCTCTCTACCTGTCTCTGTCTCGACCCATGAGCCTTTCGTTATATTTTCTCTCCCCTGTCCAGCTGAGAAGGGGAGTCATAGAGTGGCTTTGGTGGGCTCCTGGCGTCCAGCAAGCGTTAACCCACCACAGGTTTATTTCAAATGGCAAATGGATATCTTGAAGAACTAGCAGCCAAAAAAAAGCCCCAATTCTTAACACAGTATACTGAAACCTTCAACGTAAGTAAGTCTACGCAGGTATGCCAATATCTACATGGTCAACTAAAAAAATGAAACAATAAACAGGAAAAAACGTTTAGAAACTATGATTTATTTTAATTTTAAATGTTCACTCTCTCAGCTCATGTAAAAATATCAAGATTGATCACTTCATTAAAGCAAATATTACTAGACACACCTGAACAAATTTCCCTCCTAGTAACTCAGGTGGTAAGTGTAATTAAAGTAAGGGAAGAACCCAATCAACATCAAAGGAAGGAGAATTTGGCTTAGTAAACATCAAAATGATATTGCATTAATAAAATATGTGACTTATTTTTATGGTTATATAATGAATAAATAAATTGCCAGATTATTTTAAACACAGATCAGGAAGACAGAGAGCCTTCCAAATCCCACCATGATTTAATTCATTGATTTTCATCAGGAAAATCCACAGAAAAACTGATTTAATACTGACAGTGACACAGTGACTCTTCAGTTAGTTTGGGAAAACTGGGAAACATATTCATCTGACTTGTCGCAACAGTCAAATAGAATTAGAAGAACGTGGTATCCACAATGATCCTCAAGATTTTCAGTATGTAAGGAATGCTGAACTAAAAGTCAAACCACAATAGTCTCTACAAGTATATATTTATGAACATTTAGTAATGATAGTTTATGAATGCGTATGAAAACTATAAAAGATACAGCCATGCTACATGCATCTTAATCTACAGCCATGCATTCTGAATAAAGTCCATGGGAGACTGCATTATATCTAAGTTTCAAGCAAAAAGCAAAATAAACAAAAATGCTTGCAATAAACACTGCAATCTTAATTACTATTTTAAAATATTTTTTTGAATTTAATTTATATTTTAAATAATGCTTGGGACATTATGCAGTAAACAATTTGAACCATCCAGTGGTTCACATATGAAGAATGATATGTAAAAGAAATATTAATGAATGAATAGTAGAATCTTTTAATTCACCATGATTTAGGACAGGTACCATGGAATAATCAGGAAAATTGTTTTTTTCACAATGCACTCTCCGAAACCTGTATCCTCAATATTCCAAAATGTTATAAAGAAAAAAACAAAACAAACAAGCAAAAAAGAAGAAGAAGAAGAAAGCAGGACCATGCTGTTCACCCACGCACCTGGAGGAACAACTCCAATACCATCATCAACATCATAATCTGAGATGTCACTATCACTGATTGGCCGAGATCCTGCATAACAGTAAGGTAAACAAATACCTGAACATCTGGTCGTGTTATAAAATGTAAACCTACTGAAATTAAAAAGATGATTTTAAGTCTAAACAATAGAGGAGAACTAAACTCCAGTGACTAACAGTGACGTTTCACAAGACAGCTGAGCCAATTTAACATCCTACAGCTGCTGCAGCATCCGTTCCCCTTCTCCTTCCCTCAAGTCCTCAGTAATCCTCTACTAGCATAGTTTATCTCACTAAACCAGCAAAAATTTAACTCAAATAAAGAAAAAAATTACTTTTGTGCCATTTCAGTGAGTAAGCTGAATCAGCTTGCTGAACAGGAAAGGAGAGGTGGCAGCATATGGTGAGAGAGGGGAAGAGGAAACAGCACTGCCAGCTTTTAGAAAAGTTCTCATGAAAACTAACCTTTAATTCGCTCACTCTATACATATCCTCATGCAGTAATTACAGCAGTATCACATTTTTATAATTAATTCCTGAAAGTGCACCAATTTCCTATGCATTGGCTGGAATGAATGATTTCCATGTTTAAGAAAAAACAGAAAAACAGCTTGGAAACGTATTTTAAAATAATCCCCTGTATCCTTCTTATTTCTAAATAAATCTTAAAATAATTTAAATGAACAGAAAAGCTACAATATTCAAATATTTCAATACTTTCGTTGTTTTAATATGCCTCATACAAACCTGAAATCAGACTCACCAAAACAACTGTACCTCCCAAATACATGCATACAATTTCTCTTTGCTGCAAAAGTACACTGCTCATCTGATTGTATAATGAGCATATCGGATGTTGAGATTAACTATGAGGAAAAGTGTTTTTTAAGCCTTATAAGTCCTTAAGGACTTTCTTTTTTTAAATAAAAAGCTTTTCATTATTAAAAAAAAAAGGCATCTAATGACAATATACTTCAACTTTCTATTTAAAAGGAAATTTATGCAAACAAACATTTGAACGATTTTCTTTTGCTAGTGAAAACCAAAACAATTCCAACAGATTTCACATACTTGAAAGTTATGCAACACAGGTGAAAGGCTGCCATGTCACAATTTGCATTTCTTTTCTGCCACACATTTTCATTATGTTTAAAGAGTATGAAACAGTATTTTTATCTTGTATATGAAAGTTAAATACCATTGCACCATATCCAGCATTTCTAATTTAAAAGAGATTAATGGAATTTGGACCTACTTTGTAATTTTTTGCTAGTGCTTTCTCCACCATGAACGTGTCTTCTTGGCATGAAAGGTGATGGCTGAGGCAGAGGTAGTGAAGATTCATCATGTGTCTGTAGCTTATACCAATGTGGTTCATCATCTAAAAGTGCTGTCTCCAGCTCTATAAGAATCTAGTAGAAAAATTATCAGGTTTTAATTTTACTGTCAAGGTACACACACACAAACACATATATATAATACATATGCATATGCATTCAAAACCAAACAATGAACTCAGGAGAAATGTGATTGTATGTATCACCTCTCCAAGAAATTCACTCTCTTCTTCTTGTACTCTTGGCTGATCCCATACGGTTATTTCAAGCATTCGTTCTCTAAAATCTCTACGATGTACATGTGAGTAGAGAAAAGTTTGGTTCCATTTTGGCTCTAGACTTTTCTTTACTGTTTTGGTCCTCCTTTTACTCTTATCACTGAAACATAAATATATTTTGTGAATTGTTTGTAGAGATAAATCACAACATGTCATCTACTCATCAGGACTCACTGTTTTCATTCTTTCTGATCTCATAACGCTTAAAAGAGAAAAGTATTTGCTGTACTCTGGATCACATTCATCCAAAAGTCCACAAAATTTGATACTGATTTGCATGATTCAAGCACATTTTTTTGGTTATAATTAATCTAACTATAACAAATTATTAAAAGGAATTCTTTACTTCAAAAGCATTCATTTAGAAGTCGATTCAATACATGGTAAATTACAACGTAATTTTCTAAATTGGAAAACTACTACCTTCTGTCTGGAAGAAAATACATTTTTACATAGGGATTCCTGGGGCGTCCATCTACTCTTGGTGGCAAATCTGTTGCTTGCAGAACATTTACTATTAACTGATGTCCCACTTTGTCGTACCACAGTTTAACCTACAGGAATCAAATTACCAGAAAACATTACTGAAAATGGAGAAAACCCAAAATTTTCAGGCTGCATCACATTAACCACATGTAAAAGTAACCACTGTTTTTTCCAAGAGACAATGAGATGTATTTTATTTCAAATCCCTTAGTATTTAGTTAAGTTTGATGGAAAAGATGATGGTATATACCAGACTTTTGTATTTACCACAGCTGAATAAAATGGTGGCGCCTGATTATACTTACATTGTTTATTGTACTTACTGTATAATCTTGTCTCTGTGAGTGCATTTAAACCCGTCTATGTCTTAGCTCTGCACCTTAAAAGCTGCATTCAAATAGGAAGCCCTGACTGCAGCTAAACTCGAGCCATAGTTGAAATCTATCTACTCCGATTTGTCACCTTGCAAATGTTCTTCTGAAAAGCATAATATACAGCTAAACAATTTCTTAAAAGAAACATAACATCATGAAATTTTTGATCCTGCTGTATACTTAGAAATTAATATGATGAATATAAAAAAATAAGAATGTACAAAACAAAGTCTAAGTACTCACAGTATATTTAATAAGCACAGCTTTGATTAGTATTACACACAGTCCCAGGATGTAGTGTGTATCTAAATTAAAATGCATTACTGAACAGTGTAACTCTTAACAAATACACGGCTCTTTAAACACTCCCATAAAGAAGATAAAGTGGTGCTACGCTTGTTATCTGCGGCTTACTGGCCTTGTACATGAGTCACTATTGTCAATGCAGAGGGTACAGGATGACAAGTTCCAAGTCACTTTTATGGGCTCCTTTCAATGTAAATTCCTGCACTTTTTGGTGTATTAAGACAACAATTCTTTAGCTCTGCTGTGATTACAGTGATGGTTTGTGAGTGTGTACAGGAGGTCTTAAAGAACATATGAGAGATGTTAGTCATTACCAACAGCAGACATTTCTCCTGACCTCCCAATCCACCTTGGGAACGTAGAGGGCTGAGGGACAAGCACTTCACAGATTTTCATTAACAACTCAGGAAAAACAAAATATGCTCACAGAAAGCTGCCCCGGTAGGACTTGTGGTGCATCCCGTAGGGCTCCAGGGCTGGTTGGAGATATAACAGAAATCGAAGGCCTTTCCATCTTCTGAGATTCAAAAGAACTTGAACCTAAAAATACACAAGAAACACATGACTTTCCATCCAAAATTTTGAAGTTAATTTGGATAACTTACAGGATCATAGAATCATAGAATTGTTTTGGTTTGAAGAGACCTTTAAGATCATCAAGTCAAACAATTAACCTCACACTGCCAGGTTACCACTAAACCATGGCCCCAAGCATTGCATCTACATGTCTTTTAAATACCTCTAGGGATGGTGACTCAACTACTTCGCTGGGCAGCCTGTTCCAATGCTTGAACAACCCTTTCAGTGAAGAAATTTTTCCTAATATCCATCCTAAACCTTCCTGATGCAACTTGAGGCTGTTTCCTCTTGTGTTATTACTTGTTACTAGTGAGAAGAGACCAACTCCCACCTGTCTACAACCTCCTTTCAGGTAGCTGTAGAGAGCAATAAGGTCTCCCCTCAGCCTCCTTTTCTCCAGCCTAAGCAACCTCAGTTCCCTCAGCTGCTCCTCATAGCAATTATTCTCCAGACCCCTCACCAGCTTCGTTGCCCTTCTCTGGACACACTCCAGCACCTCAATGTCTTTCTTGTAGTGAAGGGACCAAAACTGAACACAGTACTTGAGGTGCGGCCCCACCAGTGCCGAGTACAGGGAGACAATCAGTTCCCTAGTCCTGCTGGCCACACTATTCCTGAGACAGGCCAGGACGCTGTGGGCCGCCTTGGCCACCTGGGCACACTGCTGGCTCATATTCAGCCAGTTGTTGACCAACATCCCCAGGTCCTTTTCTGCCAGGCAGCTTTACAGCCACTCTTCCCCAAGACTGTAGCGCTGCATGGGGTTGTTGTGGCCCAAGTGCAGGACCCAGCACTTGGCCTTGTTGAACCTCATACCATTGGCCTTGGCCCATCGATCCAGCCTGTCCAGATCCTTCTGTAGAGCTTTCTACCCTCAAGCAGATCAACACTCCTGCCCAACTTGGTGTCATCTGCAAACTTATGAATTGCTTTTCCTTTGAATTGTATAATGCTTCTACTTTTACACAGTAAAACTGGAATAATATACAAAAAGATTTTCAACTGAAGTAGACAGCATAGCAAAAAAGACTGTCTGGATACCCTTACCCCAGATTAAACCTCCCATGTTTTGTTTTATTTGAAATAACATATTAAAAAGTGCTCCTCATATAACAGTGACAAACCACCCCAAGTGTTTTAAATAAAATATTGTCCTCTGACAGAATCACACATCTCCCGTGTAACCCAAACTATTTTATGATTCTATGTTCTCAGATCTTTGAAGAATAAACCCATATCTGCTGTATGGATTATACTCCCGGTAGCCTCTGAAATTTGAACTCCCAAGGAACTGGCACACAGGAAGGTACATAGGATGTACATCTGGCGCCTGCTGTACATTAGTAGTTCTCCACCAGCAAAGTAGAGCCCTCTTTAATGAGATGAGCTCGTGTCAGGTGTAACAGCACTTGACAGCCCCACAGGACCCTGTCCCATGGAGGGGTTGCATCTTAGAGAAGGCTCAGACGAAAAAGCACTGGGAGCCATGGCCTTCACACACTTAGCTGACACCGTTCAAATTGGATAGTTAGGAAGAAAACCCTTCTTTTGAAGCATGATACACAAAAAGTTCACCTAACCAACATTTTCTTGTTAAGAAAAAGAGAGTAAGAGCTCTGGACTTAACACTGGATGGTGCAGGAAGTGAAATCCTGACATTATTTGCACCTTTGGCAATCCTTTATACCTGTTTTCTCTCTTATGTTAGGGCAAGCAAATGACTGGTTTGGGCCACAGCGTGTATACCAGTATGGTACTAACAATACAAGATACATAAGAAAACAATAAAATCCTGCTAACATTTGAAATCTGTACAGCTTTTAATCAAATCTATATTGTTTTGAATTTAACACAGAAGACCAAAACCCATTGAATTTTGTCATACAAAAACCTTGGAGCCAATGCAGACTCCTAGTGCTCATCTTTCAAAAAATTCACGGCCAAAACAATTGTGCTGGGTACAAAACCATTCTCAGTGAAAGGAACAAGGGGTGTACTCACTAGACTCTAACGGGGGGTGAGAAGTCTCGGGAATCCGTGGAATATCACTAAAATGTGAATATACACATAGTAATTAGAAACAATGGAGATGACAATGTGCTGTAACAAATACATTTCTGGGACACTTTTTTAGAAATATGGATCTGTTTCTGTTCTAATGGGCTACAAGGAAAGAAAGAGGAAATATTTAAAGACATATTTTCCACTAGTGATCATGAAAATCTTACTAATGCAAACTACTTCTTTCAAGTTAAGAAACTGGCAGACAACAATATGAGTACTAGAATGTTAATATCGTGGATGGATTCCACAATAGTTTTACAACTAGAATAATAAAGTTAGAGAGTTTTTAGGAAGAGAAAGGTGGCAAAAGGTAGTATAGCTACGGATGTTCACTATTTTTTGGAGGGGGAAAAAAAATCAAAAAAAATAAGACATAGATTAACTCACAAGTAATTTTTATATAAACGTCTCAAGGAGTTCACGGAATGTAACTGATGAAAATGTCTTATAATAATAAAAAGAAAAAGCAAATAATATTAGCAATGTTAAACAAACAAAAGAATAATGCATTTCTTCAAAGGGTAAAAAAAAAAATAATCAAACTATATTACAGTTGGGGATGGACATTATTCAACATACACATACCCAGCACATATACAGGTATAAGCAAAATCAAATTGGTTAAGTCCACACACATCTATTAAAAGTTTGCTATCAATAAATTAATTCTTCCATCAAAATCTGGATGATGCTAGCTCCTGACTCTCTTGTGTTCCCAGCAATCATTTCTTGTGAGAGCAAGAAATGACTGTTATTGTACAAACATTAGCAAAGCAGCAGAGCAAGAAAATGGAAAAAAAGCTCTGAGTGGTTTACTTGAAAATATTTTCATTTACACAAAATAATCCAAAATTGGAACCACAACAACATTTCTGCAGAACATTTACAAGATTGTAAGTCTAAAGCTGAGCATTTCAAAGGTATTCAGGCATTTCTCTGTTCAGTGAATCTTACTGTCTTGGATGCCAAAAAAATTAAGTCTCCTAGGTACATAAAAGTCACTTATGAAAAAGAAACAGACACTTCAGTCAGAAAAGGGATGTAACAGTGCCCAATCAATTAGTCTTAAATTTGCTTTTCATGTCCTGCAATTTAAACTTCTGGTGCATGTGTTTTAAAAAAGCCTATTTCAGCTCCCAGTTAATGTCTCACATCAGCTTACATCTTGTATCACTCCACAAGAATGTGCTTTTCTTTGCTTTCACTCTGTAACTCAAGAGTAATGTGGTTTCCTCAAACTCACGGAAATATAACTTCATCACTTATTCTTGACATGGCATAGTACTACTTCACAAACATATAAGCAGATTAAAGATGTGTTGCACAGCAGGGTGTCTGTGTAGATTTCCTCCTCTTAACATTTTCTCCCTTCAATTTCCAGGGCAATTCTCATCAGTCTGAAATATTTACTTAGCATATTCAAACTGATTTTTCTTGTGCTACAATATGAAAACTCTCGTATGCAGTATAGCATTGTTTGTAATAATATCCCATTTAGGGTATCTAAACGAGGGCTCATATGTGAAAAGAGTGTTTCAACATGGACAGTTCAACCTACTGTGTCAAGTTTCATAATTCCTGAGTGGATAAAAATGGTCAAATTGATAGTATTTTCCTCACTTTGAGCTGGTGATACAAAAGTCCTCACTAGGTAAATGACAAAAACGATCAGATCGTTCTTAAGACTTTACTTGTCAGAAAGGAAAGAACTGAGAGTATGATTTTTTAATGTGTATTTCTAAACCGCTTGTAATTCTTATTAAAAATTGACAGGAACAGTGGAAGCTAGAACATAAATTTTAGTTCCTGACAAAATGCATAATTTGCCATAGAAATGTTATTTGGCAGCTTTCCCACCGACCCTGTTCACCCCCACCATATCAGAGCTCATTCACCCTCAGGAAATCTCTAAACCTTTATAGTACAATGAAAAGCTTATATATATACACGCATAAATATACATATAAAAAATGTGTGTGTATATAAAATTATTGCTAGGAAATCTTCTCTTCCCTAATACATTTATCTTTTTTAAGTATGGCTCCACACAGAACTGCAAGACACAAAAAGCAAAGAAACTAATAAATTAAGTATGCGATACAGTACTGGTCATCACACTTGTGGCAGAGTATCTTAATAAACTCTGTAACAGTTCTGCTTTCCGCTATTGATTTCAAAACAGACATGAAATAATTCAAAGCTTAGCTTCTGTCCATATTTGAACTTCTTACAAATTCAACAATCCACTTTACATAATCATTTCTTAAATATTACATCCCCACAAGAAAAGAACTGGCATTATATATTTAGTGACTTTATCAAATGTATGAGTAGCATTTTTTTAAAACATTGGCATTTTAATTAAGGAATGAAAATCCTAAAAAGAAACTATAATCTAAAGCTTGTCAGGTAATAAAATGAGTCTTATCTAGCCTGCTCTTATGGATTGCAGGAAATACTCTAGAATTATGATTTAAAAAAAAAAACAACCTCTTCAGAAGAAGTAGTAGAAACCTTATGACTTATAATATTCAAAACTACACTAGTTAAAGGAAACTGTAAAAACACAGTAAGAAGTAGCACAACCACTTATTGAAAATAAGAGCAAAATTTTGCTCTGCTTTCAGAGCAATATGAACAACAGAAAGGTAATGTCACACACATTCCAGTAAAGAGCTGCTGACATCAAACTTTATCTTTCTCTCTACCCTGAAAGGCAAAGGTTTTGTGTGATCTTACATGACGTTACATATGACTATCTTATGCCTTATCCTGCCACACCTCAATGGATACATAAATTAAAGCAAATTACACCTTAGGTTGAGACTACTCTGTTCAGATATATGGTTTGTCAGGATCACTACTTTTTAAAACACAGGAATAGCTCTAATTTCTCTGAGGGTTATTGTCAAGAGCTTGATCACTGAAGACAAAACTAATTCAAATGTGGTTGTACCCCATGCTTCTTTAGGTTGCTCTGGGGATAGAAGCATCATTCTCTACACCCTATAGAGTTTTCAGTTTCTGTGTCCCCAGTGCTCATACTCCTATTTCCAAAACCGTTCCTTCCCATCAGAACCTGTAGATCAATCTACAGTTTGCACTAATTACATTACTCGAGCAACTCTCTGGAATTCAGCACTGCCTGGTTTATGATAGAGGTTCAACCTCCTTGCGAGGACCTAGAGCACAGCAGCAGTCCCTGCACAGAGGAGCTGAATCACATGAGAGAAACAACAATTTTGGCAATATTATCTGTGGAAATCCAAGCAAAGATAGCTAGCATCTGACAAATAAAACAGAGACAAATGAAAAAAACATTTGTTTTACCTGCACTATCCCATAGATCTCACCCGAGCACACAAGAGATGGTGAGTTAGTTACCACGCCAGGTTTCTTCTCCAAAAAGCACGCTGCCACAGGATTTTCTATGCTGTCCTATGTTAAACGCCTCTTACGTTGTATGAATATTCATAGGTAATTCTTCACCTCATATTTAGATAGCCAACCCACTAATTCTACTTTTTATAGGTTTCTTATCTACCTTGTGTTGCAATCATTAGCGTTAGTGTCAATTAGTTTCTATGGAGTTTTTACGGTACTATTGTGGTTATACTGTTTATTGTTGTTATGACTTTATCTGCTAATAGTGTTACATGTTTCACATTTTTCTCTAATAAACATCCTACAATTATCCATTACTCAAAATTACATTTGCTGGTAGATGAAGAAATCCAAATTTACAAGACTGAGCAAATTGTTTAGACATCAATTTTGTAACTGGCAGTCATCTAGTTTATGGGCTTACAGTCCTCCCATTATTCACTTAAGACAAACTGTGTCATATTTGGGCTTTTTAGACCTAATATGCTGGGATTTTTTAGAGACCATTAAAAGTGCTGGTACATTATTTGCATTATTAATACTGAGAGATGAAAACACTTAAATTATGCAAACGAACTATCGTTTTTCAGGTCTTTCGGGAACCTATTTCCTCACAGGAATTTTAGGTGTAATGGATTACCACTTAATGCTGTATCAAGCAGCTTTGATTTTGCTGAGTCAGCACCTAAAGCAGACATAAAACTTTGATACACTAGACTTGTTGGATTAAATAAAATTCCCTGTCATGAATTAGAAACAATTACATAGTTTGGATAGCAAGACAAGGAGAAGCTGGGGGGTCGAGGGGAGGGAGTAATCCTGTGCAGTAAGTTCTTTTTTGTTGACTAACATCAGGATTTCCTTCATTGCACAATGCATGATATTTTTCGTCCTTGTAAGATGACAGACAGGTAAATCCCAATCTGATACAAAACAACAGGATTTTGACTCATTTCTGATGAAGAAAGGAAATATCTTTCAATCTCAAAGTTACATGCTCTAGTTGCTTTGGGATATCCATTTGCTCTTCTCAAAAATACACAAACCAAAAACCCTCAAACAACAACAAAAAAATCAATCAAGACACAACTCTACAAGAATAGTATTATAGCATGCAAAAACCTCCATGCCAAGACTCCATTTATCTCAAAATAAAAGCACAATCTGATGTGCTTTACTTTTGTCCATGTCTGGAAAAAACATCCATGGGTCATCCAAAGCAAAACTTTACATTTTATTGGTACTATTTCTCGGTGCACTTTTTTAGTGCAAAATTTACTGCTCCGATTCAGAAACTTTCTTTGATTTTGAATGCACTGCATGTTCTGCATCTCAGTTCAACAGTTGTGGTATTTTCTCTCAATTTTTCTTCAAAAATATGTCACTGGAATGTAGTCACTTTGTACTTCATTTTTGGAAGCTATTAGATTTACCAAATTAATAAACAAAAATAATTCAATTGGTTTAATAATGAAGTTATCTTAAAAGTTTAAAGATACAAGACATTTGCAAATGTAGTGATAGCAATAAATGTATCTAAAGCTCATTAATTAAAATACTAATCTAGCACTTTCCTTTTACATCAATTTTCAGGTTTTCTTCAATTGAGACATGGAGTTCAAGTCAGATCCAGTATCAACATACTTATTTTCTGCTGATTTAAATATAAAAACTAGACTTCCAAAAATCTCCTTATGGCATTTTATTTTTAATTATAAAGACGCAGGACTGAATTTGCAATTTTCAGTCAGGAATGTCTCCTAATTTATCCGACTAAAGAATGTAAAATAAGGTTTCCTCTCCCCCACAGTCTCCATCTGGATGGTAATTTTAGCCTTTAACAACCACTATTATTGCATCAAGCTTTCATTTTCCATTAGAAGGTCAAATTCATAACTGGAATTAGAAACAAGTGTTAATTTTATTTAAGTACTTTTAATAGTCATTGCCATTAAGGCAGAACTCATTTGCAAATATAGTTAGACTTGCACTGTATAGACAAAACCAAACATCAAAAATTGACATGAAATGAATGTAAAAGAAGAATGTTTTAGTCAGAAAATTAATAGTGGTTTTTGTTTCTAAAACTGAAAACTTACCATACTTGAGACAGATAAATATTATAATTAGAATGAAATCTGGCAAATTCAAAATGAAATAATTATGCATTCATAAGGAGGAAACAGTTTACCATCTACCTACAGGATAGTGGTATTTAGAGACTTATAGTGACTGCACATGAACTCTGGGAATGTAACAAACTACAGTGTAATTTAAATCCTTTCAATTGTTTTTTCTAAACTAGACAAGAGTCACTTTTAATTGCTAATTATGTGACTGTTCCACAATATAAATGTGAATTTACAATATATGATTCATATTTAATCCTGTAAGACATAGCTCAAAACAGTCCCCACAGAGTCATGTTTGGAGGAGTACAGAATATCACTAAAACAATCGTGACAAATGCAGGGCCAACCCCACTAATCTTATCAATTTGAACAGATTTTATGATCTTTCTAAGGTTTATTTGGAAAATGAAGAATATAGGAATTGTTACCACAGAACCCCAAACCTGGATTTATAATAAATAAAAATTAAGATTATAAACATAACACGTTAATTCTATGCCTTCACAAACACTTTTGTGAAGTATTTCTGTTTCCACTTTTGACTTTGATGACAGTATTGTTTAAGGCCAAATACAATCTTTTCAATTAAGAGGTTTGGTTTTCCTTTTTTTAGATCTTTGAAGAAGGCCTGTTCAAAATCCTACTAGCATTGACTTACTAAAATCCTGCAAGACTTAACGTTGGCTGCTCCTTATTTCTATTTGTATAAGTTATTCTGATTTAATGAAGCTAAATGCCTGAAAACCAGTTTTTTCTCATGCAGAGGTCCACTTGATCCACCATTTTTCCTTTGCTACTCAGCAAAAACCTTGTTAGTACTTTGATCATAGAGAAAACAACATTTATACTTGTATATATCACTGTAAATATTCAAGATTGTAAATGGCAGTGAAGAAAATGGAATACACAGAATGTCAATAATAGAAAGTGAATCATATTCCATTATTAAGAGACAAAAAATAATGAACTCACAAACAGTCCCTTTAAAAGTCCCATTAGTAGAAGTAATAACTGTGCTTAAGAAGCAAGTCTTTAGCCTTACCCAATAGGCCTTGAAACAATAATTTCAACTTGAGGTTCTGATTTTGATTCTAAAATAATGTTGTAAACTTCTTCATTTGTAGCTCCAGGCAAGGGTTTACCATTCCATTCTAGAACTTCATCCCCTTGAATTTAAAGAGAAGTTTAGCTCATTTCCATATTCTTTTACAAAGAAGTGCAAAACATTTATGAAATCTATATAACCAAGTAACATTGGCCCAAATCAATTAAAAGGTGCGCTGATACCCAAAAAAAGGTTTTCGAGGAACTATCAAGGCTCCTTTCTTGTAACACAGCTGCAATTTGTACACACAGAACATATTAAAGAAACCACTTCTGCAAACATATTAAGTATGTCCAAAATAATACAGCACTTGTTATTATGCTATTAAATAAAAGAGCCTTTTTAAAAGAACCTTCATTAACTAGCTGTAATAAACTTTGAAAATAGACCAGTCTTCAAAAATGAAAAATATAAATACCTACTGTTAAGCCCTTAAAAATCATGATATTTTATTACAGTTTATATACTGCACATTTTGATTTTTCTACAAACAGGACAGTCTTCTCTGTCTGTGTCAAATGAACCGAAAATAAAAGCAAGGAGGGAGTCACTATCTCCTGAGAATGTTAGGGGGGACCGAAAGGAAAACATGACGTGAAAGTTATTTAGATAACTTTCTTTTTTCAGCTTGCCATTTCTGGAATTTAAATGGTATGTACATTACACTGTATTTTGGCCTTGTAAAAAGGTGAAAATCTTGAAGTATAGTTTCTAAAGAAAGATCAGTACATACAATTAAACTGCAGGAACATAGGGTAAGTTTACACTCTCATACCCCAGCATATGCAGCAGTCAAACCTTCACAATCACTATCTGATGCCACAAATAACTTTCGTTATTGACAATGTCTTTATGTTTATCAGATTGAGTCAGGAACAACCCTTCAGCTGCTGGCTTTGCTCCTTTCTGAGAACATCTAAGCCAAATGACCGAACCCGTGCTTGTCAATAAGCCAAGGAAAACTATCTTAACTGCAGTCCTATCTACCAAAACACATGGCTTCAATTTCTTTTTATGCTCAGCGACGCGACTGACAGCCCTTTTTCCCAGTCATTCTATATTTTGGTATTTTAAGAAAGGACCCCACAGAGTATTCCACTGTCTTTCACAGCATTCTGACATTCTTTAAAACATAAGGGCTTGCTAATGACAGACTTAATAAATGCTTGCTGATGTAAGTTTAATTTTCTACCAGGTTCTTTAGCTGAAACAGTTTAAAATATTTCGTATTTTTATTGCATAATCTTATGTCAGATGGGGAACAGGAATTAGATATTGCCTGGGAACTTCATTTAAAATTTATACAACTCAGTGAAAACACACTCAGTTTCTTCTGTAATTATGACTGTATTTTAAAGCTAACAACTGTTATAAACTAACATGTTGTTTTTACCTAAAATAAAATTTGATTTCTTTACAGATAATTGGCTTAATTTACAAAAGTATCCCAGGCATTAAAAGGAACAGAATGTGGCCAGCTTTGCAACAGCTATAACTTAATAGCAAAAACCAACAGGGGCATATGCTAAATTTGTAACACTAAAAATAATGATTTAAAACTGATTTGCGCAGCAATGAATCCATCACATTTTGAAGACGACAAAATAGGTGCCACATGGTTGAGAATCCTGAAGAGGAACATGTAAGGTGTCTGTATTGCTATTTTAGAGGATTAAGCAGCTTTTTGAAAGTCACCAGGACATCAAATGATTTAAAAAAAAATAATTGCCAAGAAGATTAAACATATGATCATCATAGACAGAATGCTAAATTAAGAGAAGTGGTTCCAATTATTCTTACTGAAAACTAGATCCAAACAGAGATTTCAGTGAAATGGCACTTCTGCTAGTTCTTACCAGACCACCGTCATCCATCTTTTGCTCACCTTGTCCAGTTCTTGTTCTTTTTGACCAGCCAAGCCCTTTTACATTGCCTCTTTCCTGTAAGATGCTGTCTATAAGGCTTAAATTCTGATTTCTGCTCTCAGTAACAGGCATGGAGACAGGAAAACACCATGCAGATACCCATAACTTGGACATATGCAAAACCCAACTGGACACAGTCCTGTGCCACCTGCTCTAGCTGACCGTGCTTAAGCAGTGGGGTTGGACTAGAGATCTCAAGAGGCCCCTACCCACCTCAACCACTCTATGATCCTGTGATACATTGCTGCAAATTTAGATGAGATGAACATCCTGGTCTTAAGTCCCACTGCAGTAGCTCAGAGTTGCAAGTCAGTCACCCAAGGAGCTGTTAGAGACTTTACACTGTAGATATTTAGGATAACTAAGATACCTGCACAAAGCTGGCTAGCAGAACCTACAGGTCAACTGCACCCTTATGGAGCCATTTCTGCCGGTGAGGCATATATTCCAGGATATCTAAGATGCCTCTAGAAAGGAGTATTAACGCATCTTGCATTCTACCCCCACTTACTGATGCATGTTCAGCAGAGGTAGAAAGTTTTCAGCCCTGTGCTGCAAATCTCTGAGTCTTATTATGTTGATTTTAAAAATAGAAATTTGGATTGGGAGATACTTCCGGGGGTCAGCTAGTTCCAACTCCTGCTGACAGTAGGGCCAACATCAAAGGATAGACCAAGTTGTTCAGGGATTTGACCAGATGAGATTTGGGTATCTCAAAGGAAGGATATGCAACACCTCCTCTGGGCAACCTGTTCCAAGCCTTAACTATCCTCTCTAGACACAAGAAAAAGAAATTTCACCAACAGGATCTCCCTCATTCCAGCTTGTGCACTGTTCTTCTTGTGTGATCAGTGTGCACCTCAGAACAGTCCAGCTATGAGTTCTCAGGAATTAGACCCTCCCATGCTCTTTTCTTTGTCAGTCTGAACAAATCCAGTTCTCTCAGCTTCTTGTACGCCATATGCTCCAGACCCCTAAACAATCTTCTGTCCAACCTGGATCAGTTTGTGAGTATCTCTCTTGTACAAGAGGAACCCAAACTGGACACAGTACTCCAAATTACAGCCTCATAATCACCGAATAGAGAGCAATAACCACCCCTTTCAACCTGCTGGTGGCAATCCTGCTAATACAGCCCTGTACATGATTGGTGTTCGCTGCAAAGGTGCTTTGCTGACTCATGTTCAACTTACTGTCCTCCAACATCTCCAGATGCTTTTCTGCCAAGCTACTTTCTAGTTGATTGGCTCCTACTGCTTACTGTTGCACTGGGTTATTCTGTCCCTGATGCAAGACTTTGTATTTGCCTTTGTTAAAATTAATGAGATTTGTACAATTACTCAGTGATTTATAAATTTAGCCAAATTTTGGACGTTTTTCATAAAGAGGAAAAAGTGTGTTTTCCTAACAGCAAGGACTCATCTATGCCTTTTTGTGTTTTAGTCATAATAGGATGAACAGACTTTCATTCATTGCAACCATGTGCAAAACAATGTATTTTTTTTTCGTGAAAATATTTTGGTTCTAAAACTAATTTTAGAAAGTAAAAATAGCTTGGACTTGAAAAACAACTAAGACTAGACATTAGAAATGTAATATTTCAGCCCAAATACTTCAAGATTAGTGGACAGAAACCTTTTTTCTTTAATTATAATCTGCAGATAAAATCTATAAACAACTATAATAATTGGTGCTATCAACCCCAAGTATATTGACTTGGTAAAATAAAAAATTAACAAATGCCAAACCAAAGTAGGATATTTTTAGAGACTCATCATCTTTTCTACTTCTTTATTACTATTTGCATAATGCAATTATCCTAAATTCTTACAAGTTTTCATTGGAGCTTCTGGATTCCTAAGAAGGCATTGCATAGTCTTAGGTTTGCTAAGACAATACTTGGAAAGTAGTTGCTTAGAGCCATGGCGAAAATATAAACTGCTAGGAAGGAATTTTGAAATCCAACTGCTGTGCATAGTTCTTGCTTCATTTAGAAGCTTGAAAAGCACAGCCACGTATTTCTAAGTGCAGTATATACATCTTATTTAAGTGAAATATGTTCAGATCATTTTCGTTGGCTGTTTTCCATTTGTATTTTTAACAATTCACATTGAAACAAGTCTATTGTCTACAGTGCATCATCCTTCAGGTGACACTATAGTGCAAGTAAAGTAACCATAGTGAGTCTGTTTGCCACAATGAAAGAGTTTTAAAAAATGTTCACATTGTTTCTACAGAGTTTAACAAGCAGATCCTGAGCTAGCAAGCAAAAATTTACCAGTGACATTCAGTCCTGACACCAGCACTGATGAGGGGTGTCTTGTATTTTGCTCATACATCCAAGCAATTGGAGTTAATAATAAATTAGAAATGTAGGCAACTGTGGCATTCCATAAGAACATTACAGTATTGTCCTTTATTTAAAAAATATTAGCATATCACATGACCAATGTTAATAAAAATTAACAGCTGCATGACAAAAACCCATAATTAAAAGACAATATATTTTGTGTGCAACTGATTGATTTACCTGCTCTGAGATGCCCCACCACATCAGCCAAGCTACCTTTCTTCACTTTGGTAATGAAGGCACCGAGTCGACCTAATTCTGTCATTTTTCCTCCAACAACCTGGTTAATCATAAATTTGTGAGTTTTCAAGCCACAAAACAGACATCATATCAAGCATGAATGTACAGACAGATCAGTTTTCACATTATTTTAAAAATTAAATCTAAAATATGCATAAGCAAATCTATTGTCAATTTGGGCTTTACAGAGGCATAAAGACAAAGTTAAAGATACAAAAAGGCCAGGTCTACTTGTAAAGCTGACACAGAATGAATAAAATTGATATTCCTTTTAATGTGCTTGACTAATCAATCTTATGGTTTGCTAAGTATCTAAATTTGATGCAGAAAGAACATTTCTTAATTAATAACCAAGAAAATGTACTTATTGCAAATAGAACACTGTCATGTTCTTAAGTTTAAATTGCAAGGGCACATCAAACCAAATGTATGAAAATCCCAAAATGCAATTGGTACAACAGTCAAAAACTTAGCAAATACACTACTAGGAAACATGAGCAAACAGTTCACAAGAACATTGCTACTGCTAATATCCAGACCCTCTCATCCAAGCACATGATAGAACCAAACGGCACTTCTGGCTTTTGTTAAACAGAACTGAAGAGAGCTATTGCTCTCATGACTGCATGATACAGAGATCAGGAAAATCAGGAAAAAAAAGGTGCCCTCAAGAGTGACATTTTTAATAAAATATAGACCAAGAAAATGTAGTCTTGCTGACTTGCTATTCTATTTAGCTATCTTACTCTCCTTTTTTTTTTTTTTTTTTTTTGTATCAGGAATATCCCGGGAGTAGTTTTATAATAAAATGAAACAGTGGAACGCTGGTCCATTAGATATTATTTCCCCACGTGGCAATCACAATAACTAGAAGGAGCTTTAATACAGATACATATCAAGAAGAGCCAGAAGCCTACCTGCGAACAAGGTTGTCACACAATAATGTATTAAATTTATCAGTGGGGGCCTCAGTTCACATCATACAAAAATGAAACTTGAAAAATCAAAGAGAATCTCTCCAATCTACATTCCCTACTAGGACAAACCTTTTTTCTCACCTATTAAAAAAAATTGCTTGCTGTTAGCAAAAATCAGCCTTGTGCTACAGACTACTAGACATTTAGTAGAGGGAAGCTGTTCTCATCTTCTGTATTCCCACGCCACAGTATCTCATTTCAAAGTGAGAGCAGCTCTTACTCAGGACATGCCATCATCAAGTTCACAAAGTTCTTTCCTGATTTAACTCCCACCATGATGAGCAGAACCAACAACCCATCTCCGTCACATGCAAGGGATTGAACTATCAGACAACTATATGCAAGGAGTGGTTCAGCATCGGTGCCCTTTGAAGTAGGCTCAGTCCTAAGTGGGTGGGATTGTTTCCTATTTTGCATTGTATCTGTTGTTCTCAGTGGGGAGAGGAAGACACTCAAGTTAAATTCTCTCAGTCATCTCTGGAGCTCCATATAGTTAAAAATATACATGGAGAGAGAAACTCTTGACCTGGGACACTGTACTCCCACCACAAGCTTCATAAGTAGCACGCGCTCTCTTTTAAGTGTTCTGGCAATTTAGGGACACAAGCCTAAGAGTCCGCTAAAAATGACTAAATTAGCGGTTTAAAACAAATGGATGGTGCTGCCAGTGTCTTAACTTTGGGGTACTAGATTAACTGGAATTACATTTAATGTAGTCTCTACTATGCTTTGAAAGTTTTTTTTTGCAAATTTTTGGGTGAATGTTTAGTTTCATTCTACAGTATTTCTGTTTCCGAAGGGCTGTGTGGATTTTAAACAATGACCTTGTAAACATTTGCATCCAGATGACATTTATGTATGTGGATTACAAGATGAATTACTTGGCTGAAACGCAAACAGTAGAGCTGGAAAAGGCAGGACTCCATTAGTGCACTCCAATGTGCAGTACATGTCTTCCAGACAGGAAGCTGAATAAACATACACTTTTTAATCAAAACAGTTCTGCTCCTTTGCCATGGATGAGTGGAAGAAGGATTAAATACATTTACATTCATAATTTATCTATATAACTTTCTAAATTTACTAAAAATAAGGAATATATTTTTGTCAAATGACCACATAATTGAAGAGTTCTCTGATTTAATGTGTTAGACCTTTAGGTCTAAGGTCAGTGGAAGTTTCTTTCATTTACCACATAAGCCATATTATACTTACTTTTAGCCCCAATAATGCACCTGATTCTTTTGGCATGGTTGTTCTCTTGTTAAGAATAACACGCCCAATTAAGCGATCTCCCTCTTTAGAAGGCTGCCACGTTACTGGATGCTGTTAAAAAAACAAGCAGTGGAATTCAAGAAGTGCAACTATCTTTCTGTATTTAGATGCACATTTATACGCCAATAAAATTTCTGGATCATTATGTCACAGTAGCCGCAAACATCCTTCAGATCTGCTACATATTGCACCTGAGCTTTCTATGATTATACCTGTTGGACTCTGGCTTCATTAAAGCTGCTTTTGTGGTGTGTAGTGAAACCTAGTATCATGTCTATAAAAGAATTAAACTTAAGTTAAAATTCAGGTGATTTTACTAGTATATATTTTGATGAAAATTTCTTTCTGATTTCAATTTCCATGATCCACCAAACCAAATTTTCATAGAATTTGTATAGAATAATTTTTTACAACAAAATAGCTATGCTGAACTCAAATAATCAGCAAACATTTTAATCCATACTTATGAACCTCTTTTTCCCTATTTCTTACCGAACTAATAGGGGATGTCTCCCTGCTGTGCCACGTGGCAGGATCCAGCCAGTAATAATCCAAGTCACCTGGAAGAATACGAATAGAAAGAAATGTGTAATCTCTCAAACAGAGAAAGATGTACGATTGATTAATTCTGCATGCATGAATTTTAATGTGGAATAGTTTGATGAAGCAAATATAAAACCTGTATTATGATTCATATTAACTTACAGCAAATTGAAAACAATACAGCCTAATAGTATAAAACCAAAACCACACAATAACACATTTATTTGGACCTCTGCTTTTTCACGAATTGCACCTCAGAATCGGGTGTGCACTCCTGATGGTTTTGACTTTGCCCAGTCATCTTCCAAGAATGGACCCCAACGCATTGCATTCACAGCCCTCCACCTCCCCTCATCTCCATACCAAACACACAGGACTACAGCTAATGATGACATGAGAGTCAATACTCCACAAAATAGGCACTTAGCTATAATTAAGGACAGAACAGTCAACCACACTCAAGAATCTGCGAAGTAGTTGATCAATACTGTGACAACAGGTACTGTACAGAGAGAGGCACAGGAGCTGGTAAAGGGTAAGAGGGCACCAGGCAAAGAGCCACACAAATAGAGCAAATAGTGCCGACAGCAGAGAGGAGGTTGAAATCTTTCATTTTCCTTGGAACAAAATTATATACTGTGTACATCAAGAATAACCCTGTGAACTCCAGGTCTGGAAGTCATGGCCTCATCAGGCCAAGGAGGGGAACTGTGAGTAGGGTTTGGGAGAAAAGGCAGCAGAGTGTAACACCACAGGGAGTACATATGAATTTATGAAAAGCTAAGGAAACCACAGTTTGACTTAATATATTACAGCTGTAGAAGGCCAAGTTGTAGCAAAAAAAAAAATACACAAACTTCACTGGTAGTTGTCTGAGATAGAGGACTGATGTAACTGTGCTCTCCAAGAAGGAAAAGGATGAGGTAGAAATTGCAAGAGGAACAATATTGGGCAGTGCAAGTCAGAGCGCAATTTTCTTTACAAAGAGGAAGGGTGCATGTGATATTGGGAAGGACGCAGGAGAATGATGCAGGCTAGAATAGAAGGGTAAATGTGAGACTGATACAGCAGGAACAAGTCTGACGTACTTCTGCCATAACACTATTTTTCAACAGAATATACCTGTGAGCTCTGAACTTTGACATTTTTTCATCCCTTTGGGCATTACCACAGTGTATTAACAAAAATGCAACAGTGTCATTAGAAAGGTGAACGACAACTCTTTCTATTGGTCTCTTGCAAAACCAGCAATATAGAAAAGCTTGATCTGAAATAACCAAGAGATATTTTTTAATTTTATCTGAGAAAAAGATGATTCTGCCATTGAGCTTAGAATGCCTTTAAACACGTGAACAAACAAAATCCCCACCAACCCAAAATCTAAACTCTCACTTCAGAGGTTAGTTTTGGACCTAGAAGGAAATACAGTCACCTCACTGAGGTTTATATCCATACCTGCCCTCCAGGCATTTGGCACCCTCACCTTGGCACAGAATCTTGTTCATTGGAAATATATTAGTGGGACAGTTTAATAATACTGCTTTTTGAATTCACAAGTAGTTTTTCTTCCAAGTTTTTGAATTATTATGTCCCAGACTTAGTTTTCATTATGGAACAAGTCTTCACATGCTTTCCTAACAACGTTCCTACAAACTCTATACCAATGAGGCAGGAATAAATGTCAGCTCCAGTATGCAGAGGTGTGTGTCCAAGTGCTCAGCCATTTCTGCTCTTATCCACATTGTTCCCTGCTGTCTTTTCCTTTCTTCCTTCCCCAGCTTTAGCGTCTAGGTCCAAGTTTCTGTGCTGCTCTTCCTCCTGGTGTTGCATACCCATGACCACTTGATTCATGCATCTAGCATCCTTCCCCACCAAGTTCCTGCTAGAGCAAGACCCTCTCATATGTCTTCTGCCTTGGCTCCTACCTGCTAATCTTCCCTTCTTACCATCTACCTATGCCTTCTTGCCTTTCTTCCCTGTCCATTTTGTTGCCATCATCCATCTTCTGTCTCCTTCTGCTTCTGGCTTTGGTGTTCTCTCCTTTGGTTGTGTATTTTAATCCCTCTTCCCTCTCACACCCTTTGGATAATAGGCCACATCCTCACAACCCCCTTCTCCCCACACATAGACCTTTAACTTTCTGTCCCTTTCACCCCTCCTGATGGTTCTGCACTTCAGTAAATTCCAAGCCAGGAGCTACATCCACCATGGCTGGCCATGGCCACAGTCCTTTCACTCTCTGCTCTCATAAGCTGAGAAGATGAACTGCACTTCAAACACAGCTGTCCTGAGCTGAAGCATAGAGGATATGCTGGGAATGCATAAAGGTAGCTTTCAAATCAAAATTCTTGACTGAAAGTGATAGGTCTACAATTTGGCGAGTATTTTAAAAGCTGGAAAAAATGCATGAATTGGGAAGAAAAAAGAAAAAAGACCATGTTCCTGAAAAATGACTGAATTTTTAAATTCCCAAATTCAGTATGAAATAGACCACTAGCGTGCAAACTTTTGGCTGAATCTACAACTATAAGAAGGGATTTACAATGGAAAGCATCAGTTAAACTACATTCATAAACACTCATAAAATAGACCATACAAATTAAACCATAAAGGAACAAAATCCCCAAATAAGCTTAAAAAATATGTTATGCCAACAACACTGACACTAGGGTCGTGACATCTGCAGTTAAGTACTCTGTTACGGCTATACTTTTAAAAATAATTTCTCCTTGATCGTCCTATGTTATTACTGCTTCTTTACGTAATATCTATTTATGCCATTCTTGCACTGCCATACCCCAGAACTGGCTATTTGTTTAATTACACAAAATAATTTCACTTAACTAGCATTACAGAGATCCAGGAATAGGTAAATAACATGCAAAAACTTACAGTCTAGTTTCAGAATTTCAGAAACAGCATAGTTTCAGAATTTTGGATTTTCTCAAAAGAACCCACACCGACACTCAAAACGAAAAAGAACCTAGACATAGAGCACTCTCTCCACAGGTAAAAGTCACTAGAAATAACTAGTAAAATAAGAAAAATTAAAGACATTATGGAGACCAAAAAACAGCTTTTCTAAGGAGTAAATAATTGATTTACAGGCTTAAACTGCTTTTAAACAATTTTAAAACAAAGCTTTAAATACAAAAAGATGAAAAACTTAAAAATACTAAGCCCCTATGAAAATATACATATACTGTACCATTATTTTTGTATGACTGATAAATTTTTAAAACATACAAAGGTGTATTTCAACTTAAAGCATATTATTAAAAATGCATTTGCAGTTATAATGCATGATTTACTTAAGACTAATGGAGTGAAACAAGTATATATTTATAAAACCTTTTTTCCTGAAGGAATATTTCAAAAGTAGTATCTTGCCAGCAATGAAATATTTTTCCTATTAAATTGCTGCTGCTCCATTACTTTACTCTTGGACATAGACGGATATAATCATAAATCTACTTTACAAGACACAAATGTGTTCAGGTTTTTTGTCCTCGAACAGTCTTTTGCAGTCTTCGATCAAATTTCAAGATGGGATGTAAAACTCTAATAATTGCCTTTGTTTTTATATCCATAACACGTGTGTCTTCAAAATAAAGGGAAAGCAAAAATCGCACCACCAAAAAACCATTTTCTCTATAATACTTCATCTTCAGCAGCACTACCCATACCAAAAGCTAATGCTGGGATACTGCAATTCCAAGTGAAGTCCTGCAAAGGTGAGAAGTGCTGGAAATGACAGTCTTGTCTCTCTCGCAAAGGCAAAATGAACACAAAATATGAGTAAGTCTGTTATCGTGTATGACCAGCCATGCTGATTTCCAAAGTCTTGAATACCAGAGATAAAATACCCCAAGATGTTTCCCCAAATCCACCCAGACTGTATTTGGAGACTACTGACATTCAGCAAAGAACGTGCTTCTGGTGTTTTGCTCAAATCCAGATGCACTAGATTAGCAGCAGTTACTTAAGACAAGAAACAGACAGTCTAATGATAAGAGTCAGTCAGCCCATGTTAGGCACTTAATTGAGCCTAACGTGTAGCTGCTAATTAAAAAAAGCAGTTCTATCACGCAACTAGGAATCTTAGACAATTATTTTCAGAGGCTGCATCTAAAATTAAGGCACAAACTTGCTTCCTGTGTAGTCAGACTAACCTCTGTAATTAACACACGCAACAGCCATTTATGTATTTTCCTTTGTTAATTTTTAGGGTAAAATATAGCCTGCGTTAAACAAACAACAAAGCTTATCAAAGATCTGAAACATCCTCTGTTATGTCTTCCACAGTTTCCACGGAACTGGATCAGTATCTCATGGAAATAATCAATTGTTTCCCAAGGTAAAAATCAAAGGAAGCCACATATCAACCTACAGAAAGTTCCAACTCCAAAGTTGGAGAAAAGAAACTCCATGCATCAACCTGATTGCCTTCCATCTTCATAGCCTGAGTTTTCACAAGTTAGAAGACCACTCCACATGCTATTGTTAAATGTCTTCAGCACACTGTTATTGCCATCAAAAACATCTGGCAGTTTACAGATGTGATAGGTCATATTGTTAAGCAAGAAAGCACTTCTGGGCCCAAGAAAAAAAAAAAGATGCTAATCATTTTATCATGTCAGATAAACAATGTATCTTTAAATAATTATAGTCAAGCTGCTAACTAACCACATAAAGAGAAAACACGAGTACCCTGGCTTGACAGACAGCCCTCACATCGAAGTGGCAAGCAGAGAATTCAAAAGCTAGCTATCGCCTATTTATACAGAAAGCTTCACAAAAATGCTCATTATCTCCTTGCTCTCGAAGCAATCCGCTTCAGATGCCTACAGTTAAGAACTTAAATCCTTGCAGAACGAGATCTGTGTTATCTGTGTTTTAGCATTTATTCAGTCCAAGGACAGGCTGGCTCACGCGGTATGTGGGAAGAATGCACCACATGACTGTTAAGTTTAGGTTTTATTTTGTACAGAAAATATATAATTGCATTGAGATCTCC